AAACAAACAAAAAAACACCTAAGGAAAAGTTTAGAAAATAATTGTGTCTTCAGTGTAAGAAGGATAAACTAGAATGATCGTGAAAGTGACCTCAATTTCAGCATGTTTAAGTGAGGACAAAAAGGATCTAAAATGTCAAGATTAAATAAAATGAATGCTTGTCCTTATTTTTATATTTACTTTGCCTTTGTCCTAGTTCAATTATTTTGATTTCTGTTACCTCCATGTCAAGCAGCATACATTTTTCCTTACAGTAGTAGCAAAATGAATCAATTTATTAATTAACCATGTCAGTGATATCTCTTAGCTCCACACAGAGATTCTCAGCATGTAATAACAGGTGGTAGTCATTTATTGGGAAATGTCTGAACAGTTTTCCCCTTCCTCCTCCTACCTGTAACAGAATGAATACTGATACTAATCTGCCTTTAAATACAACTTAACGTAGCTCGCACTTAAGGAGAAGTAACTTTGCATTTCTCTTTGCACTTCTTCTCATTCTGAAGGCCTTGCATCCCATGCAATGAACTTTCTACTTTATACTATAGGGCTGGTGCTCAAGTATTCTTGAGGAAACCCTTTCAAACCTTCAAATAATGATTATTTAGTTATGGGGAAAGAAGTGTAAGCCAAACGGACAAGAAACTAATTATGTTAGTGTTAATATCACTACATATTGCTGGATTGAAAGTCTTGCATCCCCTCGGTGAAGTAAAAAAAGTGAAAAAAATCTGAAAAGGATTGAGCAAAACAGCTGTCTCCAGATTACCTGGATATTAACGTTGAAAGATTTTTCTCCATCCAAACCAAAATAACAGTTTGGGGATGAATGCAGTCCTGACCTCACCCAGGCACCTACAATGATAAATGACACCATCCGACACAGTGGCAGATGCCATGCTGGTTTGCAGGTTGTTGGAAATAGTCTGTAAGTCCCTCTGAACTATCCTGTTTCTTTCCCCCACTGTAAATTTGCACCTTGAATGCAGAGTATTTCAGCTCATTTACTTCACTATCTATCTATTGTATCTATTGCATCTATTGTATCTCATGCGCTAGCGTGTAAAAATGGTGTAAAAATTCCCATAAATAATAATTATGGAAAGAAAAAAAAAAATGAAAAACCTTGCCCACAGGGAAAGGTTTTCTCCATAACTTGTATCATTAGTTGATTAAAGCCCTTAAGAGTGAAAGTTTATATCTTCTCTAAACGATTTCTTTTTTTTTTTTTTGTCCCACGAGGTAACTATGGCTCCAGATTATGTATGAATCCTACTAATTTTTGGCCCAAGGATAACTTCCAGCACTGTGTTTCACAAATTAATTATGTATTTTATAAACATGTACCAGATGTATCTATGTATGGTGAAACAAGCCACTGAAAAGAGAAGAAAATGGGGCTCTTTCCCTCAATTCAGTGATCCAAAAAACAAAATCACAGCTGCCTACTAGTTTATTTATTTTTGGAGTTACAAAATGTTGTTTCTCATGTTCAGAGTTACTAACAAACAGTTCATAATGAGCAGGCATGAGCAACTTTTGGATAACAACGTAATAATGGTTCCTCTGTTGTGATAATCAGGATTTGATGTCATTAAACTCTGAATGTTACTCGTCTTCCCTTGTCCTGCCTAACTAATAAGATGTCTGAAGAAATCTACACAGACATCTTTTGTGAATTATGGACAACATTTTAAGGTTGTAAAGTTCTTCAAGCCAAATTTGATTTGATCTACTGGCTTATACTTCTCTTATGAAAGGTGGCCTGGAATAGGAACCAATGCCTTCCTCTAATTTTTGTCTACTTTTGAAAATCTAGTTCCTTGACAGCCATAGTGAGGGTCCTGAGCTCTTTGGATACAGAGGCTGCCTTTGTAGATAGAAATACGTGAGGAATTGAAGGTATAGTACTCCATAATTACTCCATGATAAGGATTGGTTTGTATCCCAATCCATTGCCTTGAGTTGCGTTTAAGTCTTCAACAAGAGATTAGTTGTTCCTCCTTCAGAGGAGAAAGCTCATGCCATTTTCCCTGTAAGATTATATCTCCCCATCCAAAAGCAGAAGGAAAATAAGTGTAATGGAGAGAACGAGAGAATATACAGGAATTTTCTGTCATAGTTTGAGGAATGCTGTTTTGTTGTTTTTTTTTTCATATAATCATGTCTGTCTGGAATAAATGTGTAGTCAGAATTCTATAGACTTTAAGTATTTGATACATGTACTAATTTTTTTTCCCTTTCTGCTAGAGTCTAATTCATACAGTTCTGCAGGAAGAGATGATTCTTGTACATTCTTTTGAAGCACAAAGCAATAAACTTCTGTAACAAAGTATATTCTGGCAATCTGACAGTGAAGTGCCCCATCAGCACAAATGGATAGGACATGAGTTTACCAGGCTAGCTTGCCATGGGCAAAGGGAAACGTATCTTGTTGCAACAAGGCACAAGTTAATTTAAGCAGTCACAATAACACACTGCTGCACCACATCAGACAACTGAAAAGAATCATGCTGGTTGTTCAAAAGCCCAGAAGTAGAGTAAATTTCATGAGTTATTCTGTTTCTGGCAAATCTACCTGTTTCACAGCTGTAATTTTCACCACATCAAACTTCTCCGTCTTAACCAAAGTATTATTACTAATAAATGGGAATACGAAACGGATTATAGGTTAGGGAAAATTCTGTTTACAAAATATGTGTATTCAGAGTTCTCAATGTGAAGATGAAATGGCCACATCTACATGAAAAGCAAATTGACAGATTTAATCATATGTTTCCAAATCTGAATCCAGCATGAAGATTTTTTTAAAAAGAGTAATAACTTCTTATACCGCAATTCAGAATACATAAAACAACCTCTGCATTATTGTTGGAACTGAACCTCCCACAGTGCTTAACTTTCTGTGACCTTGTCCTATGAACATCTCTTTAATACTGCAAGTGCTAAAAATAATACAATTATAGCAGCAAACGCTTACCTAAAATAAGAGGGGCAGTTAGGAGACATTCTTTAAGGCTACCATTAGACGATATAAAGTGTTGTGGGAGCTTGCAAGCCTACCTGGTCAGCAAACGTTAGTTAAAGAGGAACTAGTTAAAAAAGAAACTGAATTAAACTCTTTGAACTCTGCTTTAGCAGGAATTTGGATTTGATGATCCCCGAAAGTCCATTCCAACCCCTACAGTTCTGTGGATCTGGAAATTTATGAGCAAAAATACAAATGTAGATTCTGAAGAGAACTTAGAAGTATGAAAAAGTGCTATCATAACACAACAGCAGCATAGCTAATACCTTCTGTAATATAACAAACAGCCATGAGAAGGGCTACTACTGTTACAAGATATGGATTATGTCAAGGACAGAGGGAAACTGTCTGTAGCAACGAGCACCTGAGCTAAATTCCTTCCTTTAAAGAACAAAGCAGAGCATCTGCAACTACAAAGGCTACAATTTCTAAGGATTACTGTATTTAATAATTGCCCTTCTTACAGTTAGTTCTGACTTCATTAAAACGATTCAGTGCTATTGTTTCAGATAGGTCTGTTTCTGTGTTTCTTCAATGTGTGTATGCACACACACGAGTTGGGAAACCACAGAAAAATATGATTTGCAACAAAGATTAGAGAAGTGTTTTTCTTTAACCTGACATTCATCTTCCTCTCCCTTTGGAAAGTTGAAGATATTTACTATGGCTGCTACCTGGCAATCTACATCTACGGATTTTCTCTGTGCTAGTCTGAAATCTTTCAGGCTGAATCAGGATGACATGTCGATGTTCATGTGAGTTAAAGGCAATACAACCTACCATTCACAGCAATAATCCTAATATCTTTGAGATGAATACTCACATCTATTTACAGAATGCCACTTGTTCCACATTCTTTGTCACCATTTCGCAATACTCATTGTTTCTTTCGGTACTCTGAAAAGTCTCAGAATCAATTCAGCAAAGCATGCTATAATCATTACTGTTCTATATACAGTTTCCTTTACAGTAGCACATCAAATCTCTTCCTCAAACCAAGAAAAGGGGATTAAAGATGCCTATTGCAGAGGATGAGAGTGGCTTGAGAGACAGAGGAGACATGAAGGGCTGAGAGGAATGGAGAACCAATGTGATAAAAACAAACAAACACACAAACAAAACACTGACCAGGGAGGCATATGAGATGAGTAGCGTGAAAAAAAAAAAGCATGTAAGGGATAAGGCTAGGAACACAAAGGCTGATCTGGAAGTTAGAGACAGGACTAAGGCTGCTGGAAAGTAGCAGACATGAGAGCTGCTTTGGAGCTGCTTCCCTGGAAACATGTAAGTCTCAGCTTGACAAGGACAAGGGTAACCTCATGTAAGGCCTTGCTTTCAACAACCGTTTGGATCAGATGTTTTCTATATGTCCTTTTCAACCTCCACTTGTGTACAATTCCTTCTATTCTGCAGTAGAAAATGAGTATTGTTAGACTTTCTCAAAATCACATAAAAGAAGAATTTGGACCAAAGTTAGCATGCTACATGTCGAACTGTCCTGAAAGCTTTTGATTGCACTACTTCCCCAATAAAAAGAAAGGTAATGGATGATAGAGTGATGATATGATCATGAAAGACTCTGTTATACTAGATCATTAATTCCTTAAAACACCTTTGAGTTATTTCATAGTCACAAGTCATTAATCCTTTTTGGTTGTTGTTGTTGTAGCTGATATAGTATGAATGAGTAGTAGTATCAAGGAGGCAAATCACAGCACTGTAAGAACACATTCCTTTTTTTCAAATAATGTTTGGAAATAAATTTCTTCAGTATTCTTGGTGTCCATTGCCATTTTTATAGAATGAGACACCAGTTCTGTGTTCCCATGCAAGAAAAGCCTGTCAGCACAACTAATGGATGTCAGATGAATAAGCTTAGAAGAGCAAACAAGTGCACTGTCAAAACCATATCATCAACCCACATGACTATTCCTGGCGATATTACACACTCCACTGCCTCCAGTCACAGCTCAGGATAATCAGAATCTTTGTTCAGAGTCATCTGATCTTGCAAAAATTGACACAGCATAGCTAATAATCCACCACAATTCAGAAACTACAGTGGATTTTAAAAGGCAGCTTTATTTTCCTGCCTTCCATGTGAGGCAGATTAAATAATCAAAAAGACGGAGCTATCAGGTCATGATTTGTATGTTACAGCTGTCCAGTTAGAGTTGACAGACACTCTTTGCATGGCCTGCTGACAGATTAAAAGAAGCAGGGTAAGACTCTGAGAGCCAGAAATGGACGTTGAGGGAAAAAAAGATTGTGATAAAGAAAAAAAAACAAAGGCTGATGGATTAACTCACTAGAAATTGTAGCACTTCTACTCAAGCCAAGGATACAATCTTAAAACAAAAAAACTAAAAACACCACCACAAAAATAAAACAAGCAGAAGAAATTGGATGAGCATGTTACAGTTTTGAAGGAGGAACCAGAATAAAGTGTACATTTACTGTTCTACCTCAGAAAACTGGACTGAGTCTTCTTCAAGGTGGGAAACAAGCAAAGCAGAATGACAGGTGAGATACTGATGCATTCAGACTAATAATGAGGCTATTCTGTTCTTTAGGCATTTCCTTGACTCATGTTTATTTTTAATGCCATGTTGGAAGCTGTATGTCAGTTTCTGAAACCAACTGTTGCAGATCAATGTAATGAACTGAATGTAATGCTTAACCTATTTACAAGTATGCTTTCTTGTTTTTTTTCTAATGAATTTTACAATATAGAATTCAAGGATGGCAGGGGATTATTTATAATTTTAATGTGAATGCAATGTCATTTTACAGGGAAAATTAATGAGGAATTTATCAGTTAAACTGCACCCTCAAAGTAAAACTTTCATTCATATTTTCATGTATATGTTTTTTATATTCAATATTTTAATCACATATTTGTTCCTTCCACATGGTATTCCCTATTACTAATTAATATTTGATCTTTGTAAGCCAATGTATCCTTTAATTTCCAAAGGTTTCAAGTAGAAACTGACAAAATATTTTTCATTCTGAAATAGCAAGTAGTAAAAATGGTTTGAGGTGTCTCAAAACCAACGTGAAAAAAGAATTTATCACTGACTCTCTTTATTCAGAGAAGCTCACATCACTTAACATCATTCGATTATTTATTCTAACTTCATGCTTTGCATAAAATTGCACGTTCCTATACAATGGAAGATCACTAGCAATATGTGAAAGAAAAATGATATATTTTTTTTTCAGTTAGGGCTGACCTGAATATCAGGGAACAGATGATAATTATAAATGATAAATACTAAATAGTGTTAAGTACTCCTGTGACCTCATTTATCTTTATAATAGTTTCTTGACAAATGTTTGCTGAGAGAGTAGAAACGTGTATCTATGAGAAGTACAGCTGGAATCCAAGCAATTGTAAACATAGATATTTTAAAGAACAAATATAAAGGTTGCTGAAAAAGTACTGTTAACTGCTTTTTATGGAAATGCCTTTAAAGCTTGTCACTCTTTTCATAGTACGTTAACTTAATTCTTTTTAGGTAGTAAAACTTTAAAAATAAAAATAAAAATGACTCTTCTGACACAAGATAGCTAAAAGTTATTACTACTGCACACAGAGGAACATTACAATTTAGTAATTTTAGAAACTTCACACAATTCCCTTCAATTACTTCTTTGCTGATAGCAAAACCTCCTGAAAGTGATTTATACTTAAAATAAAGCCATGAGCAGTACTTCACTTAAAGATGCTGGGAGCACTTATTTCACTCCATTGTATAAAAGTATTTCAGTAATATCTGTGATTTATTCATGCACTGTTAAAATTATGAATTATATTTATGCTATCTACATTATGGCTTATGAATGTACTGTATATGCTTTTTTTTTGTTATTGACTTCTATACTGTCAAAAGACAAATATTTTATAATAATTTCAAAGCATTATTGCTGCTTTCATTTGTGGTACAGGTAACTGGCTTCTGGTGCTGAGCATTGTCTTCACAGCACACATGGCTCACGGGTGTCCTCAAAAATGCCAATGCCATATGGCTTCAAAGACCACAGACTGCAAGAATAGAGGTTTTACTGAAATTCCTGCCCACTTACCACCTGAAACTCAGATACTGCTGTTGCAGAATAATCGCATTTGGAGAATCAACCAAAACGCATTCACTGGAACACCACTGCTGAAAATCTTAGACTTGTCTAATAATTCTCTCTCAAGTTTTGCACCAGGTGCTTTACAAAAATTACGGTACCTACAGGTTCTAAACCTAACTAGAAATTTGATTCATTATATAGAAAACAAGACCTTCAGTTTCCTCCCACACCTCAAAGAACTGGACTTGTCATCCAACAGCATTGTACGTTTGCCTGAGACTTTTGGAAACAGCACAGGGAATATTACATTACTGTCAGTGAAGCATAACAAGCTTCAGAAAATGGAAAGAGTTCTGCTGGAGTCACTTCCAAACCTGAAAGTTGTTCTTTTCAAGGACAATCCCTGGCTATGTAATTGCAATGTCTTTGGCCTGAAACTGTGGTTGGAGAGTTTTTTATACAGAGGTAAGGAATTATCCTTATTACATATGATGCACATGAGAACACAACCTTCCAAATGCAACTAACTGATCTTCACTACTATAGTGTACCAATTTTCCTCACACCCTGCATCATGCTATCAAATAAACATACTAAAATACATTCCTATGCATAGCCCAGAATATAGGTGTGCTCATAATTACAGGTGGTCCACTAGAATCCTAGAGGATCATTTACACTGAGAGAGACTACAGTCTGCATACATATATTCTAGAAATACATGTCTGTAGTGAATGTATACATATATATACATATATATATATACATCCATATCTGTATCTACATATAAAACAGCATAACTTGAGCACATGTACTTGTCTTAATACTACCAAAATGCTTTTGCTAGAAACCAACCTAACATCCAGAAGCTTTTTACCTGATGCATGAGACTAAGCATCAACACAGGTATCAGTACCAATTTAGAGAACTTGGGATTCTAATTTCTCTTCAAATTACAACTTGGTATTTCCTTATAAGAATACTTACCTAAAAATGTGTTTCATCTTATAGAAGCCTACTCTTGTCTGATATTACTTTCTAATTTGCTGTAGTACTAAATTTACTAGTAATATCCTGATTGATATATGGAATACCACCACCTGAGAAATTTTATATGTAAAGTAGTTTCATATTTTGTTCACACTTGATTTCAAATATGTTCTAGAGTTACGCTTTATAAAAAAAGAACATGATCTAATTCTATGTATTTAAGAATTTGTTTTGCTTCCAGAGCTCCAAGAAACTTTACAATATTAAAAAAAAGAAAACAAGCTTTTATCATCCCAAAGCATTTTATTCATATCCATTTTACTTACAATGAATGCAGGAAAGACTTTAAGCACTAAAGCAAATTTCTTTCTCCTGGGAGGTATGTTCAGACTCTCAAAATTCAAAACTGCTCTGCAATTGACTTTTCTCTAAATCAAGCTTTGATGCTTGAATGTGATGAACTATCTATACCTGAAGGTAACATGGAACATGAGAAGACAGTCCATGTTGCCTGTGATGTACTGCCATCTCCAAGCATCAGAAGTCTGCAGGCTAGTTGGAAAACTATACTGTCAACACAGGGACATAGAAAAAGTCTTCTGGGAGATAAACCCACTTCCAGAAATAATGTTTTAGAATAGACAAAAGCCTAAACTCCTCTCATCTTAATCTTAATATTTTGGGTGATAAGACATTACACTGTCCCGGGGCTTAAAGTTGCATTATGCAGGAACTGTTTCCTGAAAGAAATTTCAGAGTGAGTTTTCAGCAGGACAACCTTCTATACTCATCTCTATCTTGGAATATCCTCAATATTTTTGGTGAAGTAGACTCCAGATTTTCATCTGAGTCCATTTTTATTCACTACTTCCTCAAATAAAATCTTTTAAGGATAAAAATTTCTGTGCCTTGATTTAAGTAAAAGGTGGATTATTTCAGACAGAGAAGAGGGCGAAAATTCAACTAACTTGATTAAGTTAAACTTTTTAAATATGTAAACATTGGTTTTGGCCTTGTTGACTCTTCAGCACACCATACTCCTAAGGATGTGATGTATGGCCTAATTAGAACTCTGAAAGCAACTCCCTGTGTGTGTTGCTCTACATGCTTAGGAACAACGGTGTGATTTACCAAGACTGAGGCTTCCTACTTCATTTCCCGTTTATACTAAAAACATACTTTGAGAGGCTGCAGAAGCTGGCTGTGAGCAATTATGAAGTTTACCACTTGAACAAGTAATAGATTGATTAATCTTAACTTCTTCAGAACTCTGAATATTTTCTTACCACAAACCTTGAAAACATTGTTCATGTACTCAACTTACTATACTTTCTCTTTATTTCATTATAACTAACACATGATGTCAGAAGAATGATTATTTCACGGGTTATTTCAATCAAGTAAGATATGTTTACTAATATATTAATTTCTTTTTTTTTTAATTTAGAAAAAGAAGTAATAATACAAATTTGAAAGCAATGAATTTGCTGTTAGCAATATCTCTTATTTTTATCTATGACATTTCTTGCTCACATTTACTTGACTGCTGCTCTTTACTTTTGCATTTGTAACAATTTCTGATGAAAGTTATTACTTGCAAATAATTTCTTCTACGATTGTTAAAGTGCAATATTCTTACCTTTGATCTAACTGGAAAAAGAGAGAATCATAAAGAAGTTCAGGTTGGAAAAGACCTTCAAGATCATCAAGTCCAATCACAACCTAACCATACTACCTTAACTCTAGCAATTCACTGCTAAATCATGTCCCTGAGCACCACATCCAAATGGTTTTTAAACACATTCAGGGATGGTGACCCAACTGCCTCCCTAGGGAGACTATTCCAGTGCTTAATAACCCTTTTTGTAAAGAAGTCTTTTCTGATAGCCAACTAAACTCACACTGGTGCAACTTGAGGCCATTTCCCCTCATCCTATCACCTGTCACCAGTTAGAAGAGACCAATCCCACTCTTACTGCAACCACCTTTCAGGTATTTGAAGAAAACAATGTCTCCACTCAGCCTCCTTTTCCCCAGACTAAACAGCCCTAGTTCAATCAGTCACTTCTCCTAAGGCATATTCTCCAAGTCCTTCACCTGCCCTGTTGCCCTTTTTCTAGATATAGTTGGACATCTTTAAAGGTATAAAGTCAACACTGACTATAAATGTTCCTTGAGTATCTGTAAACTTTACGTGAAGAGAATTCTGAAATCACAAAATATTAAGATCATAATCTGTTGGGTTTCTTTAATTTTCCTTTTCAGGAGGAATAAGTGATGGCATCATCTGTGCAACACCAGGGATTCGGAAGGGCAAGGACCTCCTCAAAGTTCCTTATGAACTGTTTGGGGCATGCCCACTTACGACAGCTCACACTCATCTGGCCACCACTCATCACCACAGCTTTGAGCACAGGAGTTCTCTGAAGCACTCTCACCACAACGAACACGGGGAAAACAGCAGGCTAAGTTGTGAACCCAAACCAAAGCCGAGGCCTGTTAATTTGCGTCATGCAATTGCCACTGTAGTAATAACTGGAGTTGTCTGTGGAATTGTGTGTCTAATGATGTTGGCAGCTGCTGTTTATGGTTGTGCCTATGCTGCAATTACTGCTAAATACCACAGAGAACATTTGGCCCCTGCAAGACAGCATGGGACTCCTGAGGAAAAAGAGCCATTTGATAGCTTGATGGCTTGAGTTACTTTTGTCTCTGGTTTCTTGAAAACAAAGAGCCCTCACTTCAGTTTAAAAGCTTGGAACCTAAATAGGTTTAATAGTTATGACTGCTTTTATTTTCTTTTTCACATTAAAGAAATTCTCTGTGTGTATATACATATACACATATATACATATATATATATTCCATATATATGTTCCTTGAACTATACATTAAGGTATATTTATGTAGCAGGATGCAACTTATTGCATATATCCGTGCTTATATTTTGCTTTGTATATTCTGAAGCCAAAATGTAAGGCTGAATGTGTAACAGAATGAAATTTTAACACAGTTATTTCCAAGTATTCCATTCTTCACTCCGAGCTTTTGATGTAATATTAGTACAGTATGCGAATAATGGTGTGCCTACACTTAGCACTCAACATGAGAGATTTTTGCAAAGAAAAACATAAATGATGAGAGTTTAAGATCTTAAAATATCTGGTAGGTATTCAGAAATACAATTTATAATCAGTTTTAGAACTGGCTGGTCTATACACTGATAACTTACAAAATTGTTGCAATGTTTCCAAATACTATTTCCCACCTCCTAATTTGCCCCCCTTAAGGAGTTTAGAAAACAGGAAATAGCTTGTTAACATTTCATCTTTAAAGTACTTGCAAGGAAGAAGAAAGAGAGCTGAGAAATCATAGGAGGAGGAAGTAATGCTACACTATGTTTCAGGCTCTGAGATAAGCATACACTGCATATAAGAGACACTACCTGTTATCCAGTGGGATACATGCTTGCTAAAGACGTTTCTGAAACTCCCAAATCCAAGATCCACACAACCTCAGGACTACGAATGGAGTCCTGATCAGTGTGCTGCCCTTCAGTAGGGAGGATCACCTAGCTGCATGTTGGCACATTTTCAAAGAGAAAGCACCCAGCTGAATTAATTCAAGGGTATGCCCATTTTGCAGCCCTATTCAGAGGACACCAAAGCAAAAACCACAGTAACCAATTTAAAACACAAAGAATATTTTGAATGTGCGGTAGTATTTTTCAAATAATTTGTAGAAATTATAGTCTCAAAACAACCAAAGTGATCAGCTACTTCATCTACCTTTTCTGAGACTAGATTGAGTAACATCCAGTCTATTTGTGGCAAATGTTTGTCCAAGGTGTTTTAAACCTTCACAATGACATGGATTAACACTCTGCCTAGGAAGTGGATGCAGCAATCAACTTTGCTTGTAGTCTGCAGATTTTTTCTTAGTACCTGCCCTAAACCTGCTTTGCTAAAAATATTGCTAGTGTATTTTAATGGCAGAAGACTTGAGGACAGCAGCTGTCTCTCCAATAAGAATAAAACAAAGCTGTGCCATGGCATTCAGAGACCTCTGATCTTCTTTCAACAGACAGATTCACAGACCAAGTCTTATTAGAGCAACTTCAGCCCCAACTGAATAATGAGCTGTATGGCAGAAGTCATATAACCCTTGCTCTTATCTACTTAGTAATAATTGAAACGTAAATTTTAAAGCTCAATCCTGCATCTGCAGTTACTTTCATGTCCAGGAGAAATTAAGCATCTCAGTTTTAATGTAAATCCAGCACACAATGAAAACAATCAATTGCTTTCTATTTTTTTTTTTTTTTTTGGTGGATACTACTACTACACCCTTGACATTAGTCTGTTTTGTACTAAATAAATCAAGCTGTTTCAAAATTTCCTATAAGAACACATCTTTCAAACACTTTTTCTCCTGCATTCTCTGGAACGTTTTCAGTTTTTCTACATTTCTTTTTTTTTTAATGTGGTGCTTTGGGCCAGGTATATTACTACAGCTGAGACATTATCAGCACGGAATCTGAGAATATTTATATTCAGGCTCTTTAAATCTGATCTCTTGATGATGTAATTCCAAAGTGAATGTGCTTCTCTTTTTTTTTTTTTTTTCAGTTGATATATTTTCTGAAGTTTAATGAACAATCTGTTTTCAGAGCAAAGTCATTCTAGTGTGGAGATCAACATTTATTACTCTTTTTATCAATTTAGCGGGATATTATTTTTCAAAGGAAAACATAACTTTTCAGATAGAGAAATAACTCAGGGAAGTATTTTACTGCCTATGGGCCAAAAACTTAGTTCAGAGCCAAGCCAAATAACAGTGCTTTCCTATGGTGACCACCTGAAATGAGTACACTTGCATTCATATGGCAGATCCTAAAATGAAAGCTAATAAACCTCTGACCTCCATGGAGATTGAAGCCACAGTGTTTTTAACAGCAATGCAACTCCCATTACAAATAAGTTTACACCTCTGATGTATTCAAACAAAGGAAGGATTCAATATTTCCCTCCTAGAAATAACCAGAACATCTTTGACTTAAAAAAATATTCTTATTAACAAAAACCTTTTAGGTTTTTCTTAAGAAATAAAGAAATAAAAGAAAAGAAATAAAAAGAAAATTAAAAAAAAAAAAAAGGAAAAGTGAGAGGAAGAGGTAATGAAGGGCACAACAACATTTAAAGGAACACTTTCCAAGTCAAATTTAAAATCCTTTGGGTATTTTTATGCACAAATAAGGCTGTGAATTGATATGGAGTTCAGCCAGAAAGCAAAGTATTTTGTATTTCTGTTTGTTCACTCCGCTGTGGGAGTACAGCAAGCCAATCCATGCAGAACCTGATTTATACTTTCAAAATAAATGTTCTTTAATAATAATAATAATAATAATAGTAATAATAATAAAACCACCCAAGAAATGTCTCATTTAACTTTGGCAAGACTATATAAATTTACAACTGTCTGCAGTTATCAAATTCCAATTATTTATGCAAAAAACAAAGAGAAACATATTGAATTAATTGCTTGAATTAATCAATGTAAAAGCATTTATTTTTCAGCAGAAGAAACAAACTAAAAAATAGATATAAAGGTGCAATTTTGTTGCCTATAACAAATTGTCCATAACAACTGTTGACTGTAACGTAGTAGACGGGATCTAGGGATTCCCCACAGAAGCATCCTTAATTTGTGAAGCTTAGCAGTGGACATCTGCTGCTGAAATAAGTTGTCTGCACAGCTTTATATTTCAGATAAAGGTTGCTGAGAAAGCTTTGTTATTTTTCCAGCAATCTAGTAAGTGGTATTATGGTAAGCACAGTATTTTTTTTTTCTAATCTTCTTTCAGCAAAATAAAATTAAAAAAAAAAAAATCAGGATACTTTATTTGCTACAGTATTTTCAAAGGTAAAGAAAATATATCGTTTTATTTCTGAATATTACATAGAGATTAACAATATTACTATGTTTTCTGAAAAGCTGGCCTTCTAAAATGTCAATTTAGAAGAGTTTAGAAATTACAATATGGTAATATTCTCTACAGGAATTGTCCTTAGAAACTACATCAAAAGAAATAAAGCTTAAATTGAAACATATTTGTTTGCCATATGTGCCTTTCCTTTCAAAACTTGCAAAAAAAAAAAAAAAAAAAAAAAAAAAAAAAAAAAGTCTTCCCACGTCCTACCAAAATCAGGATCACTCTTCTTGAATATCAAAGTAGAGTTGAATGACATTACACATAGCTTATCATTAACAGCATTAACAATAAGCGACCAACTGTTGCCTACTAATAACCATTTATCTTTGCTGGCCCAAAGACAAAGATGTGCAGGTTTTAGTTAAGCTTACAGAAAGCATGCTGAATTTTACAACTTTGATCTTTGAACGTGGTTGAAAAGTGTCACAGTACTAACAATCACAAAAAGTCTCAATACTTCCTGGGCTTATATCATCTGAAATGTGACTGTACACTCCCCAGATGAGACAGGCAGCAACATCAGTCATCTGGATATGGCAGTAAGCCACAACAGGGGAGAAGGAGTAGGAACTGGAAATCCATAATAAACAAACCAGTGAAAGGCACAGTTGTCTCTGATTACTGAGGGATACCGCATAGTTTTATGGCTGTATACAATATAGGTATGAATTTTTGTGCAAGATTATCATCTCAGTTCAAGACAAAACAAACACACAGTAAAACTGCTAATGTTTTCAAATATTTTTACAGTGGGAAACGGATTAATTGATCCCCAGTACTTAAATTGGAGTTAATGTATTCATGTACTACGTAACGGCAGAGAATCATTCAAAGTGCTTTTGAGTTTCATCCTTGTGCTATTTGAATTTTTTAAAAGTACCTGACGTCTTTTCTGCTGTGTCATACTACAATCAAGGATTTATTGTGCCAGAAGAATTATTCAGAATTATTTAGAATCAGATTGCTTTAGATCACAAGATTCATTCTTCTACTTAAGCTCAAAATCGAATGAACAAACAAACCCCAAAAACAAAGGAAAAGTGCAGAAGTGAAGAATGCTCTGTGGAATTTACTCTGTATCTGTCCTATTATACACATTGGGAAATTGATCTAATTCATCCACCAGAGAACTGCTAAGGAGAGCCCAAGAATTAAATAGGGTTTACATTCTGGAGCAAATACCAGCAAAGAAACATCTTAAAGAGCCATGTTATTTGATTAATCCAAATACTAATTCTGTAAGGTAAAATTACTTGAGAACAAATAGAAATGAATGCAAATATGTGAATTCTGAGTATACCATCTAACCAGATTCACTGCTCGGGTGGTGGTGAGAAGCAGAACTGAACTACTTGTTCTGAAGCACTCAGTAGGGCACTTTGCATGTCTTCATGCATTACCTACAGAGTACATTTCCTAAGCAAGTCATGGCTTTTATCCTGAGTCCATCAGTTATTTAATGCTAGACTCTACAAATACACATTCCAATTTTCCTGAAGCTGAAAACACTAGTCTATAGACTAATATTACATTTATGAGTACACAGATAATATTCAAAATGAACAAGAAAATCCAGAAAAAAAAATAAAATAGTGGTTTTCCACCAAAGCATGCAAAGCATTTTGAGGGATTTACTAAACACTACTGCTGAATATAATCTTCTGTGGCTTACAATGTGGAGTAAAGATTAAGTAAATCACTGTCTTGCCTGACAAGGAAAACATCTATTTTAGAACGATTCAACAATTTGGTTGGTGTGTCATTCTGATGACATATTCATTTTCCCTTAAGCCTTCATACTAAAAAGCAGTTTTATGGATGGTGCCATAAATTTTAAGGACTGTGTATGACAGTGACATTTGCACGCATGTTTTTAATATAGCAATACCAAAGCAATTCACGTAGCAAAAAGGGGAAAAAAAAATGCAAGCAGAACTGAGAGGTTTAAAATAGATACAATTCTGTTGTGCTGTTGTAACAATAAATGACTTAACTATTTGTGAGACATTTACAATACCTGCCACTCCTAGAAATAAAAGTAGTTCTAGCTAGTTTTAATTAAATTAATGGGAGTCACTTCTTCAAAACATGTGCTGGATCGTGCTCAAAGAGAGATGTGCATACTAACTTCATTTTAATTCATGGAAAAAAAATAATAAAAATCCTAAATAGAATTTCAAAGTAGCATTTATACAATTGCTAACACACACACCAGAAAGAAGATGAAGATCATAAGTTTTGTCATGTAAAGGCAGCTAGTCTCCCATACAATACTCACATTTTCCTCCATAAAAATATAAAAAGATCTTGCTTGCTTAGAGCCTACATAACTAAGTCTCAGTTACTAGAAAACTGGTATGCTTCCTGATTCTCCTTTCAAACTGCTGTACTGCAGAAGCTGATTCAAACAGAAAGATGAAAAAAACCTGAAGTGTGACCAGCCTAAAACAGACATACTTGTATTTTAAGAGTAATGTGAGAGTTTAGGTCATTCTTTTTTTTTTTTTTTCCTCAAGGCACGGATTGAAATAGCTTAAACAGCAGGATTTTCAGGGTCACTTTACTGTGGCATTCAAAATCACATGTCATTTTTAACAAATTAGTGCTGAAAGAAAGTATGATAAAAATTTCACTTATTTTATGGATGGGGAAACAAAAAGGAGGACCTAAATTTTCAAATCGTATCATTCAAAATATCTGAAGAATTTTATCATCTCGTTTGGGAATATTAAACACAGAATAAAATAATTTCCTGTTTGGAGACAAAAACTTTGGGCTCTAGAAAGAATCCGATCTGAATAGTTAAATACTGGAAAGCAAAATGAGCCTAGTTTTACCTTGGCCAATCTATTTACTGGTGTAAAACGTAATATTCTATGTTTGCATAGTAAGGATTTTTGGTAAAATTATTTAAAAATCTGTATTTAAATATAAAAAATGCTACATTTAAATATAAGTATTTAAAAAACTGATGATCCTGATACTGATGATGACAGAGTGAGTATCCACAGAGGAGAAGACCTCCTCCTAATTACAAAGAACTGCTTAAGATATATTTTTACAAATATACTCTGATGTAATTTTAAATGTAAGTGATATATAAACATTAAGTAACAGGTATGATCTGCTTTTTAAGCAGAAATCAGCAGCACAATTTTAAAAGCTATTCCTTCCATTCACGTAAGCTGAATCAAATTTCTTCCTAATAAATGTTTTCTGTGATAAATTATTTCTATTGGTCTCACAGCATCACTTTGTGGCAGAAAACAAGGGAGTAGTCTGTTGGCTACTTTTGCATCATGTACCATGGAACTGAATGCACCTGAGATGTATTTGAAGGACAGCTTCACCAGAACTTTATGTGTCTCATACCTAAAGATAGACAAGACTTTAAGTAAAAATACGAATTATCATTGTTAAAAAGTATCTCCTATTTTCTTCTTATCTTTTAAGTGCTTCCCAGCAGAAAATAACAGCCATGAGAAATAAATAAATAAATAAATAAATAAATAAATAAATAAATAAATAAATAAAATTGGCTGTTTTTAATCATCCTGAAAAAAAAACAGTAAGTATATTCTCTTGAAAGGACTACACGTAAAGCACAACTACTGTTCAAGATGTTAATGATTGGCAGAATCATTAGAATAGATTTTCAGTCAATGAGACACTGACAGTGGCTGAACTTTTGGGTCATCTGTACAATGAATTAATGTATATAACCAGTCTATATCTTTAGGAATTGATTTTAAACAAAATTATGATGATGAAACCATCAGTTTTCTTGGTTCAAAAAGGAACTAAAAATAAACATGTACAGATTGTACAAGTTCTATGTTGCATTCACATAGGTGCCCTCACAGTCATTTGGAAGTAGATGCTCACATCAAGAATGTGAACTAAGTTTGGTCGTCATGCAATATCAAAGAATACAAAACCCTTCTGCTGAATGCTATCAACATTTCACATAGACATACTACTTTTCAAATGAACATTAGAAGATTTAATTCAGTCAATTTTCTCCATTTATAATAACTAGATTGAGAAATCCCATATAGACTGCTGCCACCTTGGCCACTAAAAGCAACATTGCCTTTATATAGCTTCTAATATTACATTCCAACACTGGAGACTTTTAAGGTTCAGCTAGAGAAGATTTATTAAAAGCTTGTCTAGACCCCGCTTTGGACATGAAAGGTTGGACCAGGTGATCTCTGAGGTCCATTCCAGCCTGGTCTTCTCTAGGGTAATTCTACAACTTTTGGATCTTGGAACAACAAAACAAAATTTTACCATCTGTTGTTCTCCTTAGCTTTGTAATGTGGGCAGTATGAAGAAACTGATCATTATAATGTAAATTAAATACAGGAAGCATGATAACGGAGAATACTAAGACAAAAAAATTTGAGCATAAACATGGTTTAAATGCAAAAAAACCCGCTTTCCTTGTCTCTCCTGCAAGTAAATTGGACTCTGTGCGAAGAGTAATAAGCATGCAGTTACCTCAAATACATTAAAGACTTATCTCCTTTCACACTTGCCATAGAAACTTGCACTCGGGAAAAAAAAAAAAAAAAGGTCAGCTGAAAGAGACAGGAGGGATTTTAGAAAACAAATCACTTCAAGTTTCCTGTAGTAAGTCTGGAGACTCACTAACACTAGGAATTAGTGCCTACATTACAATTAGGATTGAGTCGTCCTACTTCCAATGAGCCTTATCTAAATTTGCATATTGTTATAAGTGCTCATTACCTACAAGTATAGAATCAAACAAAAACGATTAAGAAAACATGGTTGCAGAATGTGCAGAAAGGGCTAGTTTTCTTCTTTTTTCCTCCATTCTTGCGGGCAGTTCTAACTCACATTTCCATTTTATAGCAACGCTCTAGTTTCTCTTTGCCTGTCTTGTAGTTATCTGCAATAAACAATATTCTGGCACAGCTTTACTTTCAGTCAAATCCCTCTTGGGAACACCACAGTGATTTTATATGAAATGTGTATATCAGGCTCCTGCTTTCTGTAATCCACTTAGACCAAATGGGAATGAGAAATACTTAGTTCACACAAATTAAAATGAGATATTTTAGCCAAATCTGAACCTGAATGTAAGCATTTGAAAATATATCCTACTTCAGTCTCTCAAGTCTGGCAAACAAAACCT